GCAGAACCCTCGCCGAGCACCCTGAATGTTCCCAGCACCCCGACAAGACACGATCCACTGATCCCTCCCCAGGCTCAGAGAGATGGAGTAACTTGCCCAGGTCACACAGCAAGGCCTTGAGGGGCCTTATATCTACCTAGGTGGAGGCCCTCCCCTCCTCCCTGCAGCCGCTCAGCCTGGATTTTCCCTGGGGGTGAGAGGCCTTTCTCAGTTCCTAAAACCAACAGTGACTCCAACCCCAGGAGCACCTCCTCTGGCCACTGTCTACCGGAAGCAGCGGGGGAAGAGAAGTGAGACCAGAGACTGCAAACCTTGAAGGCTGGAAAAGGGAAGTGGGGAGTGGGCCAGCAAGGAGGGGCATGGGGGGACACTCAAGGGAGGGAAGCGGGGAAGGGGCCGGGGGGAGAGCTGTGGGGGGTGTCCAAGGGAAGGAAGGGGAAGTGGGCTAGCAGGGAGGGTTGTGCGGGTACCTGGGGGAGAAACTGGGGGACTCCCAGGGATACAAGGCACTGAGCCCCTGCAAGGCCAGGAGGGAGGGCAAGGGGAAGTAGGAGGACCCCATCCCTCACCCACTCAGCAAAGGTCTCCTGGGCACCTGGCGTGCACCCAACACTGAGCTCAGTGTTGGGGTGCAGTGGTGGGTGAGCCTCAACCTCACAGAGCTGGCATCCCGCAGCAGCAGGGACAGGTGCTGGCCACCCTAACCGTCCAGCGGAATGCCTGCAGGGTGCAAGGTCACGAAGCTCTGGGCTCAAATTCCAGCTGGACCCCACTGTGTGTCCCTGGGCTACAGCCCGCTGGCACAGGGAGGGACCTCGAAGATGCAGGGAACTCTGGGGCCTCCCCCACATGATAGAGGAGATTCAGAGGCCTCCGCAGAGCACACGGGAAGGCCAGCTCTGGCCCAGCACCCCACACACCCAGCCTGAACACTTCCTTCGCTCAGTGGGGTCAGGGCTGCACGCAAGATTTCACCGGCTCTGCAGCCAACCGCTGTGTCTGCAAACCGCTGATGCCGCCCACTCCTGCCTCTCGCAGGGAGCTGACGCATTTTGCCCAAGGTCCTTGAGCTGGCAGGAACAGATCAGGGTGTTCTGGACCCCCTACCCCCACCCCACTGCCATGGGTCTAGAAGATTACAAGAGAACTTCCCCAGGAAGGCTGCTGAGACACACCCAGCCCCGTTTCTGAGATCACAGGCGAGGAGGCCAGAGGCAGGGACAGAGTGACTAATGCTCCTTCGGGGACCCAAATGCCTCCTGCTCAGGGCACAAAGCGCTGCCCTATTATCCACCAAAGCAGAGAGGGCTGCTGCAGGGCGAGGACTCCGGAATGTTTGCAGGATGCATAGCAGGGCTGTGAGTCAGCTGAGGCCAGGCCGGGAGGAGGCCATACACCAGGGCGGGCAGGTAGGGAGCCGGCGTGAGGTCAAACCCTCCATGCAGAAACAGGGTAAACAGTGGCCCAAGACCAGCCCTTGGGTGGTGTTCTCCATGGCCCAGCCCAGGTAACATCGAACTATTACCAAGAGGAGGAAACGCACTTGCCAGGAGGGAAGACATTGGCCCTGAGTCCTCCAGGGACACAGAATCAAGACACTGGACTCCCAGCACAGTGCTCCCTCTCGCCCGAGCGCCGCCTGGGCATGGCTGTCCCTGTATACACATGGAACCTTGTGCATTTGAAGAGTATTCTATCTATCCCAGAAGGCTGGCCGCTCCGAGACGCTCTCTCATGATGGGATGATGTACGCAGGTGTGGGGCCCTGCCTCAAACTGGCTGTAAGCCATTTATGGGTCTGAGCCTCAGTTTCCCCACCTGGAAAAGGGACACAAATTCTTACCACCACAAGCACATGTACAGTTCCAATGAGATAAGAATCAAAGCACCTACTGTGTGCCAGGCACTGGGTAGGAGATTTGCACGTGGCCTCTGTTGTCTGTGGCGCACCCTTTTCATGTTAGGGATGCAAAAACCGGCACATGGAGAGGTCAGCTTGCCATCAGCCACACCCTGAGGGTTAGGGTTAGGTTTAGGGTTAGGGTTAGGGTTAGGGTTAGGGTTAGGGTTAGGGTTAGGGTTAGGTTTAGGGTTAGGGTTAGGGCTAGAGTTAGGGTTAGGGTTAGGGTTAGGGTTAGGGCTAGGGCTAGAGTTAGGGTTTGGGTTAGGGTTAGGGCTAGGGTTAGGGTTTGGGTTTGGGTTAGGGTTAGGGTTAGGGTTAGGGTTACGGTTAGGGTTTGGGTTTGGGTTAGGGTTAGGGTTAGGGTTACGGTTAGGGTTTGGGTTTGGGTTTGGGTTAGGGTTAGGGTTAGGGTTACGGTTAGGGTTTGGGTTTGGGTTTGGGTTAGGGTTAGTGTTAGGGTTTCTTCAAGGCCAGAGGGTTAGGGTTAGGGTTAGGGTTAGGGTTAGGGTTAGGGTTAGGGTTAGGGTTTCTGCAAGGCCAGAGACTGCAGGTTCAAGCCCTCTCCAGTACAGTGCCTCCAGAGGCTTCCAGAGGGCATGGGACCTTTAACCCGCCTGTGAGCCCCTCAGAGCCCAGGGAGGACGCAGGTGATACAGCCGCAGGGAGAGCACAGCTGATCTGAAGGCTCCCTGGGGTGGGGAAGGATGACTGAGCCCTGATCCATTTTCCACATGGGTCCTGAGCACACCGCTCTTCACTCCAAGTTCTCGGCCAGGTGGGATCATGCTCTTCTTTCATTCTCCAAGCAACGGCTCCCACTGCCATCTGAGCAGCACAGCCCAACCAGGGCTTCCTCAGACTCCCTGGGGATCAGGCTGAGACAGATAGGCAGGGGCCTGACTCCCTCCAAGCTGCCCTCTGCCAGCTGCCTCTGCTCCTGTTCTCAGGCCCAGCTTGCCTCCTGCCCCTCGACGGGCACCCCAGGGTTGTGGTGGGGGCAGGCGCTCCCAAAACCCTGGGCTCAGGATGTGCATTGAATAACGGTCTGCTGTTCCCAGGGCCCCTGTGCAGGGTGGCACCATCTCCCTCCCTCCAGCGCCTCTGCCAGACTCCCAGGGCCCCCCAACCAAAACCACCAATTCCAAGCCTCAGTGGCAGAGAGTGGTCCAGCGCCAACCTTTCACCAGCTGCCCAAAAATCCCAGGGGAGGTGGTCAGCCGGGCTTGAGGACAGCCACTTGCAGGCAGGGCACCTCCTGCCACTCAGGGTCACAGTGTCCTGGTTGGGACCAGGTCACACCCCTTCCCTAAAGCTGAGTGCCCGCATGTGTATGATGGGGATGAGAAAACCTCTTTATGGAAGAAAATCTACAGAGAGCCCTAAGCAGAAGCCTGGCGCGGGTATAACACACACCCAACAGCTGCTGCCACTTTCTTCCCTGGGTGAAAGCAGCTCGGCCTTCCCCCCTGCAGCTCAGCCCCCTCAGCCTGCGCATGGCTTTGCCCGCTGCACACTTGGAACGCGAGGCTCAAGACAGACCAAAGGCACAGGGCATGTGCGTGCTTGAGCCTCACAGGGCGTGCCGTGTGCTGTGTGCATGCCCAGGCATGTACATGTGTAGGGGTGTACAGAAGCATGCATGTGTATGTGCATGTTTGTACAGGCGTGTTGTACACGTGTGTGCATGTGGGCAAGTGTATGTGTGGCTCATGCCTGTAATCCCAGCACTTCGGGAGGCCGAGGAGGGCGGATCACCTGAGGTCAGGAGTTCTAGACCAGCCTGATCAACATGGAGAAACCCCGTCTCTACTAAAAATATAAAATTAGCTGTGCGTGGTGGCGCTGCCTGTAATCTCAGCCACTTGGGAGGCTGAGGCAGGAGAATCGCTTGAACCCAGGAGGCGGAGGTTGTGGTGAGCTGAGATTGTGCCATTGCACTCCAGCCCGGGCAACAGGAGCGAAACTCAGTCTCAAAAAAAAAAAAGTTCCTTAAATTAGAACCACGTTGGAATATGTCACAGGTACTGCTGCCATGATTATAGCAGTGGTCACTTTTGGGTGCCTCATGAGTGCCCAGCCAGGCACTTGCCCAACGAGAGCCCCCAGCTAGGATTAAATTCCAGCCTGCACCTGGCATGTCAGCGACCCAGCAGATAGGCGCGTGTGTCCGCCCGACTCAGGGCTCTGCAGCAAAGGACCCAAGCCCAGCTGCCGGACTCTGAGTCGCTCTTGCGGCCCGACTCTCACATGTGACCAGTGTACCCAGCCTGTTTGCCACATGGCACTGGGGCCTTTCCGACCCATCGGCAGGACCCTGGGAAAGCAGCGGTGATGTAACCAGGGCCACTTCCTTGTCTCCTGCTCCTTGCTAAAGACAGAGCCAGACCAAGACTGAGGTCTCCACGAGGGACCAACAGAGCCACCAAGTCCCTGCAGGGGAGCGGCCCCTATGTGCTGCTGTGAGCGTGGGTACCCCCTCCTCACACCAGCCCCACCAGCCGGAGGGTGACAGCCCCACTCTACAGGTGAGGAAACTGAGGCACACAGCAGACCCTCACCTGAGGTTACCCAGCTAATCTGCTACAGCCAGGATGCGAAGCCAGCCGTGGTTTCTATTCAGACATGCTACTCCAAGGAGACCCCAGACCTCCCCGGCAAGACCCCCAGACCTGCCCTCTCTCCCCACCCTGCTTCTGGGCCAAGATCACATTCCCAGGGGCCTGAGTCTCTGATCCCACGAGAATGCAAGCCACAAGGATGGGACTTGGTCCGTTCTGTCCCCGGCGGTGCCCCAGCACTGAGAAGGGTGCTTGGCACATGGGAGGTGTTCAGAAAGCGCTGAATGAAGGGATGAGTGTGTGTGAGTGAAGGAATGAATGCGCTGGCTCAGACTCGGCCAGCCCATATTTTACAGGTGGACCAGGTCTGCCACTCTCCCCATCTAGATCTCAGGCCTTCAAAGCCGGTTCTAGTGCCCTAACTGCAGAGGTTCCCCCAAAGTATCTGTCCCAAGAAGCACCTGAGCTGCCCTCTTCATGTGTGTTAAGTCCATCCCTGTAACACCCAGGGGACACTGAGAGGCCACCCAAATACTCACGTTCTGAGAGACAGGAGCCTTTGCCAAATGTATCAGTTGGGATCAAATGTGACCACAGGTAACTTTCCTGTCACGTAAAAGAAGTCCAGGAATAGGCAGTCCGAGGCGCCAAGAAGTCAGCAGGATCCAGGCTTCCTTCCAACTAACTCACGACCCCCAGGGCATGGCTCTCAACCTCATAGTCTAAGATGGCTACAAGAGCTCCAGCCATCACATCCACATTCCAAGCTGCAAGGAATGTGGAAAGGAGAAAGATGGTATGCCTATTCCCTGGAAGGAGACTTCCTAGAAGACCCACTCTTCTTCTCAGATCTCACTGCCAGAACTGAGTCACGCACTCAGTGGTAGATCATGACAGCAACGACCCCTAATTTATTCATACGCTCCCGTGTGACAGTAGCTCCTCCCCGGGTGCCCCATGGTCTCCCCACAAGGCACCCTCCATCCTGGACTCACTGTGGCCCCAGGTCCTGCACTCAGCTATCCCCGACAGCCTGAGCCGAGTACCCTTCATGCCCCGCACACCCACCACCTACGCCCAGCCACTCGGACAGCACGGGGCAGACACTCCTGCGATGCTCAAGAACCAGCTCCCGGAGTGACACCCAGAGGGACAGAGACAGAGGCCCTTCTCTCTGACCTTCCCCAGAGCCTAGCTCAGGGCTGAGCACAGCGTGGGTGCAAAGAACAGGGAAACTCCAGGGAATGAGTTCCTGAAGTTTCTAAGGACACTCCCTGTGCAGCTCAGGAGGATAACACTGCACTGTCCTGATGACCGCCACAGTGTCTCCCTCCCGACCTGACCACCCCACACAGCTCAGGAGTGGATGCTGCACTCTCCCCAGGACCACCCCAGTCTCCCTCCCGTCCTAACCACCCCACACGGCTCAGGAGGGGGGACGCTGCACTCTCCCCAAGGACCACCCCAGTCTCCCTCCCGTCCTAACCACCCCACACGGCTCAGGAGGGGGGACGCTGCACTCTCCCCAAGGACCACCCCAGTCTCCCTCCCGTCCTAACCACCCCACACGGCTCAGGAGGGGGGACGCTACACTCTCCCGAGGACCACCCCAATCTCCCTCCCGTCCTAACCACCCAACACGGCTCAGGAGGGGGATGCTGCACTCTCCCCAGGACCACCCCAGTCTCCCTCCCGTCCTGACCACCCCACACGGCTCAGGAGAGGGGATGCTGTACTCTCCCCAGGACCACCCCAATCTCCCTCCCGTCCTAACCACCCCACATGGCTCAGGAGGGGACACTGCACTCTCTCAAGGACCACCCCAGTCTCCCTTCCGTCCTGACCACTCCCTGCAGCTCAGGAGGGGACGCCGCACTCTCCCTGATTACTGTCACAGTGTGTCCCTCCCATCCTGACCACCCCACGCAGCTCAGGAGGGGATGCTGCACTCTCCCTGATTACTGTCACAGTAACCTCCTGTCCTAACCACCCCACGCAGCTCAGGAGGGGACACCGCATGGTCCTGGCGATCACCATGGACTCTTCCTTCCATCCTGGTCTCTCCGGGCTCCAAAATGCTTTCACATTCTCTCTCTCAGCTTTCAAAGTAACAATGCCTAGGGCTACACCAGGAGACACCGCTCAGCTTTACAGAGGAAAAACCCCCGATCCTCAGGATCAACAATAAACAGCTACTCCTTCCAAAAGACGAGGCCGTATTTGATCATTCTGATTCATCCCCACCTGACATAGCCGCCCTTGGGGACAGGGAGCAGAGAGAACACCCTGGAAAGGCCCCAGGTGGCTTCCATGTGACGAGGAAGCTGGCTGTGGTCCCTGAGGAAGCCCAGCTTCTCCTTGGTAAAGTGAGGGCCACGTTGGGGTTTGCCTCACGGGCCGGGTGCCCTGGACAGCCTGGGCCTGGCAATAACTCGCCCTGAGCTACCTCAGTTTAGCTGGCTGTGAAATGTATCCGGGAAGACCAGATCAGGGGTCCCAGGCAGAGTCGGGGGTCGGGGTGGGGTATGCTGTGGCAGACACGTGAGGGCGCGCCTCACCTAAAGCTTCCGCTACTCAGCTCCGTCCGGTCACTGCTGGAGGGGGCCGGCCAAGCAACACCAGGGCCTCTGGAAACGGAGATGAATTCATGACATCTCCCATAGCGCGGGTTGTACGGTGGCCCTCAGAAAGACTGTCCAAGTCCTAACCAAATGTGGCCCTATTTGGAAAAAGGCCACTGCAGATGCAGTTAAAGACCTTGAGGTGAGATCATCCTGGAGGAGCCTAAATCCAGTGCCAGCCTCCTCCCAAGGGCTCAGAAGACAGGCACAGGGAGAAGAGGTAGGGCCACGTGAAAACGAGGCGGGGGTGGGAGTGGCGCAGCCACGAGCCACGGGGCACCTGGCAGCAGCAGGGCAGGAAGAGGCTGGGGGCCCTCCCTGGAGCCTGCGTCTAGATATCGGGCCTCAGCCCCAGCACTGGGAGAGAAGAACACATTTCCATGGTGTTCAGTCCCACCACTTCGTGATCTTTTGTTACGGCAGCCACGGGAAACCTCCCAACCTACAGAGCCGGCTCGTTTCTTTCATTAGTACTGAAGGAGCCAGAACACACACCGCAGCCACCTTTGCCCCGGGAGTCCCAGCCAGCAAGGCCCAGACTCCAGATCACAGCCCTGCGCTGGAACCCAACGAGGAAACGGCCCCTCAAGTGATGTCGGGGAGGCGAAGCCCCGTGCCATGATGCAGGCTGCTTTCTCTGGGGAGTGGAGAGTGACAGCGCCTCCTTTTAGGGGCAGCCGCGATTTTCTCTCCTAAGCAAAGTCTAGTGCAGGCAGAAGGAAATCATGATCCGTCTGTCTCAGCACCAGGAGCTCTTGGTAGAGGCCACATGACCAGGTAGAGGGACTTCTGGAAGAGCGACCGTAGGTTCCCAAGGAGCTGGAGGTCATGTGTCAAAGGTGCAGGTTTTGCTGGGATCACACAGTTGGGGTATGAACGGGAATGAGTTCCTATCTCCCAAGAGTGACAGAGTGTGAGTTTCCGACCCACACGCCTCCCAGGAATGGCCAGGGCACAGAAGCCAGTGCTGGAGCTGGACCTTCAGTGGCCTGCCGCACCCCCGGGGCTGCACCCACCTGCCTGGAGAAGAGTGGCTTGGCCCTCCTCCAGGGGAGGTGGCCGTCACATGGCAGAGGTGCCAAGCTGGTGAAAGGCCACCCTCCCTCTCCTGGCACTGCCGTCCACTGCAAATGCCCGGCTGGAGTCGGTGCCAGCAGCCTGCGGGGCTGTCATGTGCCCAGGCTGCTGGCAGCTGCCGGTCAAGGGGCCTTGCCCTCCCTCTCGCTGGACACACCTTTGATTCAGAGGAATGCGTGTGTGTGCTTTTTATTCCCTGAAGGGGAAAAAGCCCTCTCTCGGCAGAATTCTTCCCGGGACCCCGACTGCTGACCGCTGGTGAGGGGTCCTGGGAAGGTCAGGCCTCTGCAGGGACCCCCGCCCTGCCTTCCCACCACCCTCCCTGACACCGCAGATGTACTCCGTGGCCTTCTGGTGCTTGGGAAGGATTAGAGGATAGAGGGTGGGATTAGAGGGCTCTAAATCCCACCTCCGAGATTATCAATCATGGAAGCCAGCCCTGCCTCCGAGCTGCTGACCTTGGGGCAGTCCCTCCGTCTCCCTGACCCACAGTTTGCTCACCCACATAATACGGATATTCCAGCGGGCTCGTCAGAGGACTACACACAACGAAAACACGCTCCTTATCAGCTCCACAGGGCACTCGGAGGGTTTCACCTTCCGGGGGCTATGAATGATGAGGCCGGGGGACAGGCGTCCAGCGGGGCTGGGGGGCACCCTGGGGTGTTTGGCTGGCTGTGACCAAACAAGAAATGTATGTTAATAAGATAACACCCCTGGCTCAGGCCCCCAGCGACTGCTCCAAACACGAGGGATCGCCACCCCCATTCTCTCCCAACCCAGCCTACACGCTCGTGGTCCTGTCACCAGCCGCTCCAAGCTTTGGTCACTGCAGGACAGAGCTGGTCACCTGGAGCTGAACGTTCCCAGGCCAGGCTGGTCACAGAGCCACTGCCCTGCAGGGGAGTTGGCTTCATTCATAATAAAGCCTATTTTAAGGCTGAAGGTGAGACAAGTCTTTTTCTTTCCAGCATTTTCTCTCCTAAGCAAAGTCTGGTGCAGGCAGAAGGAAATGATCCATCCATCTCAGCACCAGGAGCTCTTGATAGAGGCCACATGGACAAGTAGAGGGACTTCTGGAAGAGTGGCCAGAGGTTCCCGAGGAGCTGGAGGTCACACGTCAAAGGTGCAGTTTTTGCTGGGCTCACAAAGGGGCCAAGGGGCAGGGGCCCAGTGACCACCTGGCCTCAGGCCCCAGAAGCCCCCTGTATCGGCTCAACATCACCAAGGGTAGCTCCCAAGAGATCACCAAGAGCCTAGAAACCACCCCCATGTGAATGATGTGGCCCTGGGTCCCCACGAAAGAGGGAAGCAGAGCTGGACATGAAGCCGGCAGCTGGCATGGGTCCTTCTCCTTCCTGTGTGAGGACTGGGCTCTCGCGCTCTGAGAGGCAGGAGCACAAAAGCACCCCCCGTGACACCCCCAACCCCTACGCCCGGCGCCAGCTTGTCTTTTTGCTCCACACACCAAAGCCATCCTCATGCAGACAGGGACAACGTCCTCACCCCTCGGCCCTGGCAATATTCAAAACCCATCACAGCACTTCCAAGTGAGGGCCAGGCCACAGGTTCCCTGACCTTCTGGAAGTGCCATCGCATAGCCTGTTTCCTCTGGTGAGAAAACTGGGCTCAGAGAGGTTAGGTAACTTGCTCAGGTCACACAGCTGCTGGGGCTGGGCTAGAGCCCAGGTCTGTGTGGCTCCGCCACCCGTGCTCCGGGCCGAGCTATAAAACTGCACACCCCTCACCTACCCCCCCACACACTGGTCGGTCCGTCCCTCAGCCACAGTGCTCAGAGCTGCCTCTGGCCACAGAACGCAGGGAGGTGGAAGGAGACCGGGAGAAAATGAGACACAGAAAGGGAATAACTCGTGGTGAATGCGGCACCAGAACCCAGACGGGCACAGGGGAGGCTTCCTGACGAGGCCAGGTGGGGACGAGGGGACAGCAGAGGGAACAGCAGTGGACAAGCACAGAAGGAGACAGCGCTGCCACGTCCAGGGAGCCAGCCGCGGGAGGTTCTCAGGGCCACCCTGAGCACAGGCTTGGGAAAGGAGGGGCCGGCCTTCTTGGGGCGTTCTAGATCACACCAGGGGTTGGGACTTTGCTCTTGGATAGAATCCTGAAGAGCCACAGACAGTTCTAAGCCCAGGGTGAGTGACAACACTGACCATTTGGAGGTGCCCCAGGAGGAGAGGAGACATAAAGGGAGACAGCACCGCGCTGGGGGTGCGGCAGGAGAACAGGTGGCCTGAGAGGTCTGAGAGGACTGGGTGGTGAGGTGAGCCAGCAGGGGTGAGACCCGGAAGCCACACACCGAAGGCACGCTGGGTTTTACTGCCTTGCCATCGCCTTGGATTCTGCGAGACAATGACATTTCTGGAAGCTCTGGTAGAAAATGAGATAAGCGCAAGATGAGAATCTACTCCTGAGTGTGGTCACCCCACCTCCCCGCCCCCCACCTTCCGGCCCCCACCTCCCCCACCTCCCCGCCCCCCACCTTCCGGCCCCCACCTTCCAGCCCCCCACCTTCCGGCCACCACCTCCCCGCCAACCCTGCTGTCCAAGCAGCCGCCTGAGGACTCCTAACCCGACCAAAACCTGCACTTCAGCAGGAACCTTCCGTAGGCAGAAAACGTCGAAAACACAGGTCTTACACTGAGGGCAGGACAGTGACCTGGCCAGGCCTGGGACTTTGGATCTTGGCTCACTGCAACCTCCACCTCCCAGGTTCAAGCGATTCTCCTGCCTCAGCCTCTCAAGTAGCTGGGATTACAGGCGCACCACCATACCTGGCTAAGTTTTTGTATTTGTGGTAGAGACAGGGTTTCACCGTGTTAGCCAGGATGGTCTCGATCTCCGGACTTGGCGATCCACCTGCCTCAGCCTCCCAAAGTGCTGGGATTACAGGTGTGAGCCACCGCACCCGGCCTTATTGCTATTTTATTCTGGGGGAAACACGCCGAATAGGGATGTCAGAATCTAATCATCTGTGCCTTTTTGGGGCAAATGCCCAGTCTTGGGAAGACACCACGGTGGAGGGTCCACGGGCGGACTGAACCGCCAGAAGTATAATAAAGGGTTCACGCCTGAGCCCAAGGGAGCCAGGGAGGCCTCCACGAGGGCCCAAGCCCTGGCATCAGGGGAATTCGCCCCACCCGCTGGGGAAGGCGGCCTACCCAGCCATGGCCTAATGGCCAGGCGGAACCAGCACGCTGGGTTGAGCTATCTGGGGCCAGAATTTGGAATGCCACACGTAGCAAACAGTTAATGATCAACTGGTCACCCCTATCCAAAAGACCTAAAACTAATAGGGCTATAAAATGTGTAAAATACCTACCCCCGACCAGACCAGACAAGACAGCTTAGGGCAACCAACGTTTCTCTGTCTCCGCTTCGGCGACCTTGTGCTGGGAGGCAGGCCGTGGGGCCGCTCCTGTGGGAAAACTTTCCCGGAGCAAGCCATTTGGCCGGAAAGATTTCCCATGCTCTCCTCAGCACCCCGTCCCTGGCCACGACCCCTCTCCCCTTACAGCCACCGCCGAAGGGACACAGTTGCCCATTTTGGGAAGAAGTCTGGAGTGTTTTGAATGGAGCATGGATTTGCCCCGGGAGGGGGAAAAGGGTGCCAGGGAGTGGATACCCCATCCACGCACAGGCTCCGCTCTCCCGGCCTGACACGGAGCGCCTTCTGCCAGAGCTGCTGACTCCTGCCAATTTATATGCTAATTCCAGAAATGAGTCTTCCTACATTAAATAAAAGCTGAGGAATGTTCCAAAGGTATGAACGGATTGTACCTTGAGCAGACACAGGAGAGCCGTGTGGGCCCTGCCCACAGGAGTTTCGAGCGTGTGAACTCGTGTGCGGTGCACAGTCTTGCCTAATTTTAGACGCACGTGCTCCTTCGGCTGACTTGCCAAAATAAAACTGCTTTGGACGCCAAAGCCTCCCCATGCCATCTTGACCTTGCAGTCCCCTTTTGGAGTAACCTTTTGAGAAAGCAGAGACTGCAAAACAGAATGGGAAAGGAGCCACACTGAGGTCACACCCCCGGGTGATAAACTGACCCTGAGTGTGTCAGCACCATCAGAGTATCACCTCCCAACCCAGTGCCTGAGCCCCCTGCCTCCGCAGCCCCTCCATGTTCCCTGCCCACCCCTGCAGACACGAGTTTTCCTTCTGTTCTTCCCACTTCAACAAGTCATTCCTTCTCTGCACATTCTGTTCCTCCCACTGGGATCACGCTTCTCTGCTCCCCACCAGGTCACCCTGGCTCATCCAATTCATCTCAACTCACTTTCCAGGGAAGCCCACCCTGAGCATCAGGGGAGTGGGGCCTGGATATGCACTCACTGTACCCTCCTTCCTGGTGGTCCTTATAATTCTAGTGGAATTATTTTCATAATCATTTGTTCAGAGCTTCCCAACTTCCTGAGAGCAGGAACTAGGGACCCTCCTGTATCCCCAGTGCCAAGAATGCTTGTCATAGACTACAGAGGGAAGTAGGGAGTTTGGATAGATATTTGGTAGATGATAGATGATGGATGGATGGATGGATGGATGGATGGATGGATGGAAATGGGTGTTTGGATGGATGGATGTTTCAATGGATGGATGGATAGATGGATAGAAATGGATGTTTAGATGGATGGATGTTTCAATGGATGGATGGATGGATGTGTGAATGCAGGGATGGATGGATAGATGTGTGGATAGATGGATGAATGTGTGGGTGGATGGATGGATGGATGAATGGATATGTGGATGGATGGATGGATGGATGTGTGCGTGGATGGATGGATGAATGGATGTATGGATGGATGGATGGATGTGTGGATGTGTGGGTGGATAGATGGATGGATGGATGGATGGATGGATGGATGGATGGATGGATGACAGATGGACGATGGATGGATGGATATTTCAATAGATGGATGAACGGACGGACGGATGGATGGATGGATGGATGTGTGGATAGATAGATGAATGGTGGATGAACAGATGGATGGATGTTTGGATAGATGGATAAATGATGGATGGATGGATGATTCGATGGATGGATGGACAGATGGACGGATGGATGCTTGGATATTTGGAGATGGATGGATGGATGGATGGATGGATGGATGGATGGATGGATAAAACTGGTCATCCCCCAGAAAGACAACTATCTTGGTAGAATAATTTATATCTCCTTTCTCTCCCTAGAAATCTACAAAGATCTCAGTCAGGGACCTCCACTGGCCGGGTACCCCACTCCTAGCCTCAGAGACAGAGAACCCCTCCAGGCCAACCTTTCAACCCATGTTTTTCAGCACTGTGCATTGCTCACACAGTTCTCGCCTAGAACACCTGCACTTCCAGATGCCCTCTCTCCCAAGGACCCCGACCTCTTCCCCACGCAGATGCTGGGGCACTGCATCTACCAACTTCTCTCTCTTCCATGCCAGAACACACTGACCTCAGCCTCACACAGGCATGAGCTCCAGGCCAGGGTCGGCCGCTTCTCAGCTGATAACCCTGAAGCCACAGACTCTCCTCTCTGAGCCTTGGTTTCCTCATCTGTACAAAGGACCTCATGAGGGGAAATGGGAAGGATTAAATTTGATAATGTGTTTCAGATGCCTGATACACGAGGCACTGATACACGAGGTGCCTGATACCCGAGGTGCTTAACAAAGTAACATGAGGATAGATGTACTGATTGATTTATCAACTGATGGATTTGAGATTCTGCAGAAGTGACTGTTCTTCAAGGCAGCCAGGTGGGAGATGCCTTTAAACATGGTAGAGCCCGGCAGACAGTGCGGCCCTGCCTGGATCTGGGTCATCAACACCTCAGCTATCTCCCACCTTGGAATTAACAAGAAAATGGCCATGTCTCCTAGCCCTTGATCTAAAGAGTTTCTAGCGCCTGATTAAAGTGATCGGTTGTCTCTCTTGTAGACTCAAAAGCACCTGGAGCCACCCTTGCAGATCCTCAGTTCTCCACTGCCCAACTCAAAGGCCACGGACATCCCAGCCCTCAGGGCTCAGGACAAGCTAAGGCTTGCACACTCTGTCTTAACAGTGCACTGGATCTCATCCTTTCTCCACTCAAACCCCCAGGAGATCCTCTGCTCCACACGAGGTCCCTTCGGGGAACCTCAAGGAGCTAAGCATGCCCCACCTCAGGGCGTTGGCACGTGCTGCTCTACCCCGAGGTGTCCACTGGGCTCCCTGCCCCCCTTTCCTCAGGTGTGAGTCCTCATCAGCAAGGCCTGCCCTGGCCCAGCTGAAATCTCCACTGGAGCCCACCACTGCCTGATGGATCAGACACTGTCTGCTTCTCTTGGCCACCTGACTAGAAGAGCCCACCAAGGCAGGCACTGCTATATCCCCAGCCCTGGCACCAGCAGCATTCAATAAATGGTGATTGAGGGGATGAATGAATGAATGAGGTATCTGTTCATTCATTTAATACTAATGACAGGAGCTGTCTCTGCACAGATGCTGGGATTTAAAGACATAGTTCACATTTTCAATAATCAACAAATGTGTAATTAACCAATAAACAAGTTAATAAGTGATCAATAAATACATGATCATAGACTGTGGTGGGGCTCCCAAAGGGGCAGGGGCAGGTGCTTGGATGGGCACCAGGGAGCTCCTCCACCAGGGAGTGGGTCTGGGACCTGAAAGGCGTGTGAGAATGAGAAGAGCATGTCGACAGAACAAATGTGTACAAGTCTTCTGTAGCTGCTGTGACAAACCATCCCAAACTGGGAGGCTCAGAACAACAGAGACTTATTCTCTCAGTTCTGGGGACCAGCAGCCCAAGACCCAGGTGTCAGCAGGGCCTCCCTCCCTCTGAAAGTGCCAGGGAAGGGTCCTTCCCGACTCTACCAGCTCCCGGGTACTCCAGGCACCCCTTGGCTATGGCCTCATCACTCCAGGCTCTGCCTCCACCTTCATGCATCTCCCTCCTTCTCTCTGTGTCTTCACCTCTTCTCTCTGAGACACCCGGCATTGGGTTTTGAGCCCACACAGATAATCCAGGATGTCCTCATCCCCTACCTCAGTCTCATCTGCAAAGACCCTGCTTTCCAAAAAGGCCACACTCACAGGTTCTGAGTTAGGATTTGGACATATCTTAAGGGAGTCATCATTCAGCCAAGTCCAAATATCCTGGACAAAGGCCCTGAGGCTGGGAGGTATGGTGCTGACCAGTGCCATGGCAGGGGTGGCAGGCCCACAAGAGCCTGGACGGTGGGCAAGGGCTCATGCATGCAGGGCTGGGGGCCAGGGCGAAGGACCATGGATGGCCATGGCTGAGTTTCACAATGGGGAAGGACGTGATCCAACAATGCTGTGGGGGCAAAGACAGATCAGAAAAGGCAGCCATGGAAACAGGTGGACCATCGGGGACTGCTGTAGGCCTCCAGGTGTGTTGGTGGGCAGGGCTCAGGCAGAAGAGAGGGAATGAGGAGGGGTAGACCAAAAAAACAGGCTTGGAGGTTCAAACAGACTTTGCTGGTGGCTGCAATGGGGTGGGGTGGGATAAAAGCATCAACACTGAGCCCAGGACATGGGCATGAGCAGATGGGTCGCTCAGCGCTTCTCCCAAGATGGGGGAAGAGGGTGTGACCAGCTGTGATCCTCTTGACAACCCTGAGTGTGGGGCCAGAGTAGCCCCAACTCACAGAGATAAGAGGAGGCTGAATTGTCTGAAGCAGCATTCAGGTGGGGCTTTGCTAGCATTCACTGTGGTATCCCAGGGAGCACAGTAGTTAGCAGACCCTGGTGCTAAGCAAACCCCACTGCTCACCAAATCCTGGTGCTCAGCAAACCCTCACAGCATAGTCCCTGGGTGGCAGAGACTTCCTCAGTGTTTCTGGCAAGAATACTGCATGCCAAGCCCTGGAATTTGCACCGTGAGAGACCCAGGGACCTGCCCCAGGTGAGCTTGCAGTGCAGCAGCCGCTGGTCCTCTCCTAGCAGTGCAGACTGGGCCATTCCTGCCATGCCAGGTTTCAGCCTCCCAAACACCAGGGAGACTGATGCCAAGGTCTCCACAGGCCGTTCCCACTTTAAACTTCTCCAACTCCCAAAAAAAATCAGGGACTTTCCAATTTAGAAAATACCCTCACTGGATGGCCCCACCCATCTGGCCATTAGCTCCTCGAGCAGGCCAGGCGCTCCCTGGGCTGCCCACCCTCCGCAGGTATCAGCCCCAGAATCACCTCTTGGATACAGAGCAGAAACAGCATGACCACTGCCCTTCTTCTCTGTCTGAACCAGTTCTCCCTCTTACCTCCCCACATCCCATTGCAACCATTCATGCTCAGGGACCCTCCTCTCCCCAGAAGTTGTGGCCTCTGAAAACCCCAGACGCTGCCACTGGCTGTCCCCTCTGCCTGTCTGTGACTGGGTCCCCCACACAGCCAGATACGGATGCTATCCCCTGCCCTGACCATCAGCAGGTGAGGCCTGGGCCCTGGGAGCCTGGCCTCTGTGTAGCCCTGAGTGGGAAGATGGAGGGAGGCCTGCCCCACTGGAGCAGTTCACCAAGGACAGGAGGCTGGGATAAGCTCCCTCCACCCCCACCCACAGGCTCAGAGAATCACCCAGAGGCACCTTCCCACAGCACCTCACTGCGTGGCCAGGCCTGGGAGCCAGGGCCAGCAGGCCTCAGGGGACCTGGACAGTTTGGTTTTGCTTCATGGATCTGGATAAACGGGAAGTGTAAAGGGCTGCACTGGACGTACCCAGCTGGGCAAACTGGAAGTGCTTTAAAGAGCTGGGAGCAGGACCAGGCGGCCGGTTCACACGGCCACGGCCAAGCTCGGCCCATCACTCAGGCCGCCTGCTGGAGGCCCAAGCAACACCTCGCTGCCGCCCCTCCCCACCGCCGGCAGTCAGGGACCCTGCTTGAAGAGCCATTCGGCAGCAGGGAGCGCAGGCCTCCCCCTCCAGGAGATATTAATCAAACACATCCTGATAGCGATCAATGGAGGGCCCCTGGCAG